GCCCGTGGAGCTGTGTATGACGGGTCCGTGATACCTCGACCCAGTTACCTCTACCTTTTAAGATCATTCTACCTTCCTTTTTGTTGAGCCCCTTGAGCCCTGTCGCTCCTTGACCTCATTGATATCACCTTGACGGCCCGATGTCGATGAGCTGCCGCCCATTTGGGATACGACGATTTGTCCTCTGCCCTTTGGCCCGGATGTGCTTTGACGTATTGGGATATCCCCGTCAAGATGATTTAGGTCATTTTGTGGGCTCTCATGTTGATTAGCCGCTACCCATTTCGGATTTGAGAAACTTACTTTCTGCACGATGACTTAGCGAGAGCTTCGAAGCATCATGACATTCCCACATGGAATAACATTCCTTTAAATACCTATTACATCAGGTTCATGATAATATAAGTGAAACATCTTTTATCAAGAATATTCTTGGATACCCCCTAAGATGTAATTAACCAAGTGGGATGCGTCCCCTTTGGAGTGGTCTTGACCTCATAACAGACACCTACACCTGAAACTTTGGTTATGGGTAGAATACATAGGCATTCTTTCGCTAATATCGGTCCAAGGTGTCTTCACCTGATCTTGATTGAGCGGACATGCTTGGTCTGTCCTTGCGAGATTACTGCACATAAGCTCTCCATGTTTTTTTATTATCTCTTATCTGTCGTCATTTTCGCATGGTCGTCTTTTCTGGTTCCTCCCTTCTCCTGGTCATTCATAAGACCCGATAGAAAGAGTTATTTGAAAAAGATAAGTATACGGCGATCAACAGACTGACAACTTCTTTAGAAATAAAAGAGAGAAAAATGAACGAAATTAAAAAAGAGAAAAATGAACGGAAACAATGTGTAAGAAAAATTTTCAGTCATTAGCTAATTTTAAAATAAATCTAATATATTTAAGGCTCATGTCATTTAAAATTATGTAATTAAATCCTGATGTAATACATTTTGTAGTATTTTTTACATGCATAGCAGTATAAACTTTAGGGTCTGTTTGGGACAATAATAGTTTTTTGAAGAAACAATTGTGAAGTTGTTGCAAGGAGAAGTTGCTGCTGGGAGAATCTGATATAGTTTGTTTGGATAATTTAGCTGAGAAACTGTTGTGCAACAAATATTTCTAAAATAAAGACTGTTTTAACCTTGTACAATGCAGAAGCTAGTGCATAGTCTTAGAAGGAGTTAAAACAAAACACCACAAATAAATTTTAGAATGTTAAACAAGTCAAAAATCTAAAATATTACGTTACGTTACAAGTCATACATCATTTGACTCTTATGAATGGCAAAAAATTGTGATTAAAATATGATCAAACTAATTTATTATTAGCAATCTTTATATCCAAATGATCAAGCCTCTGTGAGAGTTGTTTCTCCAAAGCTACTCTCTAGATATTATAAACGTCTGAAGTTGACTCATCACAGTCTTCAGTCCATTTAAAGAAGTCACATTTATCAAGCATCATATTTCTCATATATCTATAAAATCTTGTCCTAAAATTGACTTCTTGTCTAGACGTGCATACAAAACATTGCAAATCACAGTGACAATGTACACTTCTCGAGCCAGTGAAATCTTTTGAACTCGTATGATCTTACATGTGTAAGGTCAAATGTTGGTAGGCTTTAAGTTATCTGTTTTAGACATGTAAATGCATAAAAATTGAGTCTTATGTAAGTAAATATTTCAAATTTATTCTAAACTATCACAAAGCCATCTAAACATGCAACTTTAACCACAACCGCAACAAATCCACTGAAATCATAATAATCTCACCAAAATAGCAACAATCCCACTGAAACCATAGTGGTAAAACCGCTCACATCTTATGCATTTATATACATAGCACGCGACTCTTATGTATTCACATATAACAAATATCACAACACACCTACATGCATGCCGCGCCATCGGAGGCAACAACACGAATGGAAAGGAATTTTTGCCAGCGACATGAAAGGAAACCCTACATAATGAAGATGATCGAAGAGAAGATCGAATAGGGAGGGGATAAATTGCGGATAATGCGGACAAATACTTGATTTGAGTTTGCATAACTCTGATCTATGGCTGGAATTTGCAAATAATTAAGCAATTTACAACATATTGTGCTTTGTTCATTGACAAAAGAGCTGCAATAAGAGATTTTAAAGGGTCATTTACATACATTGTGCTTTGTTGATTAACAATGAGCTGCCATAAAAGATTTGGTAAGGTTAATTTAAAAAAAATTATGGTATTCTGGGTTAAATTTATAAAATACTATTTAAAATTTTTATTACATTTTTCATACATACCACTGAATTTCCATGTATTTATTCTTTAACACCTAAACTTTACTTTAGGAGTGTAAACGAGTCGAACACGAGTGAGCCATGCTCAGCTTGTGTTCGGCTCGTTTATATTTTGAGCTCAAAAAGTGTGTTCGTGTTCGGCTCGTTTGCTTAATGAGCCGAACACGAGCTGTTAACGAACAAAGAGTCTTTTTAACAACCCTAATCATGTAGCCATAAAACATGAGAGAACTAATTTAATTAGGGTTGAGCAATATTTAAAAATTAACAATGAGACAATAAAGGTTTGAGCAATATTTAAAAATTATTATTTATATTAAAACATCATTTGAATCTAATTTAATAATTTTTATTCTATTTTATTAATCAATATTTTAATTAATTATAAATCTTTGTAGTCTTATAGTCAATTAGATTTTTTCAAATACTACTTTTATATATATATATATACTTGATGAGTAGTATTTCGAGCCAAAACGAGCCGAACACGAACGAACACATCTTCGTTTGTGTTTAGCTCATTAACTTATCGAATGAAATTATCGAGCCGAACACGAGCTTCTTAACGAGCCGAGCACGAGTTGTTCGCGAATAACAAGCCGATTTGACAGCCCTTCCAGCCAAGCAGATCTAGACAACCGAGACAGATCAAATTGAGCTTAGCAGGCAAACCAAGAGAACAATGAAATGATAAGCTCATATATATATATATAACATAAAGAATAGCCTTTATAACCCTCTTTAAAGTATAGACAAAAGTATAACATCATCACATCATACACTCTCCTCTATAAATATGAAGATCAATTTATGAATAAAACATAATTGATACGTCATTTATTATTCACTCCTCATCATGTCCCTCTCCTCTTACTTACACTCTATTCCTTTAGACACTCTATTCCTTTAGTGTAATTCATCGATGAATAATTATTAAACAATTACTTATTTAAATTCATATTAATATCATTCACATTATTAGTTAATCAAAATCAAACAACATCATTAAAGTTATAAAAAAAAGCTAAAGAATCCAAAATAAAAAAGAAATAAAAATTTCACCTTTAAAAGCAAAAGCATTCCCACTCCCCACCCCCATCACTCCATCCCCTCCACAGAGAAAACAAACGCCAACAAAGAGAACTAAACAACAGCGATGTACCGATTCAGCAACTCCGCCATCGGCTACCTTAACTTCCTAACCCTCCTTTCCTCCATCCCCATCATCGCCGGTGCTCTCTGGCTCGCCCGAAGCTCCTCCACCTGCGATTCCGCCCTCGAGACCCCTCTCCTCGCCGTCGGATTCATCATCCTCCTCGTCTCCCTCGCCGGCTTCATCGGCGCCTGCTTCAACGTCGTCTGGGCTCTCTGGCTCTACCTCCTCGCCATGTTCCTCCTCATAGTCTCTCTCCTCTGCATCACCGTCTTCGGGTTCGCCGTCACCGGCGGCGGCGGCGGCGGCGCCGAGATTCCGGGGCGGATGTACCGAGAGTATCACCTCGGCGATTATTCGGCCTGGTTGCGCGGCCGGATCGCCGAGGAGAGGTATTGGCGAGCAGCTGCTGCGTGTGTTGTGGGGTCCAGGACTTGCGCGGACATTGTGAGGTGGACCCCGCTTGATTATATGCAACGCGACCTTACCCCCATCCAGGTACGCTGCCCTGCTGGACCACGTTAGCACTAAACTTGGTTTTGAAAATTGTTTGATTTATTTGTAACGTGTTCGAAGCATGAAGTTAATTTATTGATGTTTAGGATACATTTATTTTGAATTTGTTAATGGTTTTGAGATTTATTATGGTCAAATTTTGTTCAAATTAGACTTAATTTTAGTTATAGTTTATTTTAAGCTCTTTGTGTATTCATGCATATATATATATA